TGCTAGACACGCTGAAGGAACTGAACTGAATTACAACTCAGCTAGAGTTTGCAGCCCTTTATTGATGAAAATGTTAATTTCTTTTTGTGAAGATAAGTGTCAACCATAATGACAGCAAAGTAATGTGGGCCTTATTCACGAAAAATCCTCTGAGGGGATTTTGTTTAACACTTAATTTCTCATTCATGGTTTATGCTGGCACCCTGCCACCTGTACCTGAGGGCTCTCATGCAGAAGGACATACTGCGAGATAACCAATTACTGTGTATCAGCTTTCCCTATGAATAGCCTGAGCCTCTGGGAGATGCAAGGGAACAGAAGCAACCATAAACTTTCCTAAGGGGCGTTTTTGGCATCAATGCCAGCACTGAACACTTGTATTTATTACCTTGTTTAAAAAAACAAAACAAAACAAAAAACAAACAAAAAAAAAAAAAAGGGAAAAAATTAGGTATTTTCATACTATCTTACCCAATATTTACTTGCTGTGAACACAGCTATTATTCCAATTTGTAGATGGTCTGTGGGAAACCTGGTTATTTCTATCACTGTAGCTTCTTTACTATTATTTATTTATATGCTATTATATATTCTAATGTTTTATTCTCCTTTTTTATAATAAAGTTCATTAAAAATGGAATTGCTGTTTAAACCACAGTAATATTATTTGGAAAGAAAAGAGTTGTTAGGCCAGCAGAGAAACAAGTAACTCTGTAAGTAGCAATACTAACTGCACCTGATTGCCAATGGATCTGGTTAGCTCCAACAGAACAGGAACCCAGACCAGCCACTGTGAAGAACCTCTAAGCCAAAAGAAGTGTGAGCAGATAGTAAAATTTTGCAGTCCCTTTTGACACTTGAAAAACCACTTTCTCCTCTCTACCTAGCTGTCTGTTTTCATTAATGTGTAGAAATGTGTTCTCTTTGAGACTTCCTTGTGCTGCTAGAAGCCACTAGCTCTAAAACCACGGGAAAGCACAGAGGGCCAGTCTGATTACCTAAGCCTTGGTTCTTAATGAAGACTGTCTAGAAAACAAAGAAAGAGAAAACAAACTAAATAGATAATAGACTAAACAAACAAAGGCAAATCCCAAAGGACCAGTATCATTACAGCAGCTATAGAAGCTATATAGAAGCATCCATCAGAAGTTTAAAACTAATTGTTTGTGCTGGATCCACAGAATGGGACAGGTCTGATTTTCCCAGTTCCCACAAGTGCCTGGCTTGAAAAGCTGTATCAGCTGAAGAGCTTGGGTCTGGGGACAGGCCAATGATGAACGTCTTCCTCTCCTCACCAAACTGTGTCACTGTGCCTCTGTCTCCAGCTTCGTGCTTTTCCTGTGACCCTTCCTTTCTGCCTCTCTCCCTGTGGAAACAGTCACCTTAAAGCAGCCAGTTCCCTGCCTGATACATTGGGCTTTTATTGGTGGTCATTGCTGCATCACATAACTGGCAAGAAGTGATATATTGTAACAAGATATCTTGCCAAAAGGGTTTTGATCACTTTGGTGTTTAGTTAAAAAAAAAAGAAAAAAAAGAAAAGCAGCTTTATATTGAGCTATATATTGGTGAGCCACAGCCATCACTTGCATAAACACTGAAAGCTACACGTGATTTACCATAACTGCTTTCAGTTATGTAAGCAATTTCCTGAGCAAATCTTGTTTCACTGAGGCTGAAAATTCAACTGCCATGCCCTAAACACATCAAAAAGACAACCTTAGTCCCAACATGCCACAGGAGGAATTTTGTTTTCCTCAACAACTTTCTGCTTTCTAAAGCACATCTTTCCTCTTGTAATCCAATTCCGCTCTTTCTTGTCCAATCTTTTTCTTTGCAACAACCTTTTAGGTTGCAACAACACAGTGAGTACCAGCAGCAGAACTTCTGTATCATCAACAGAATCAATGCTCAGGAAGAAGAGTGAAAAACTGATTTAAAAGGGGAAGGAGCACCAATCCATGCATCAGATATCAGTGATGGTAGAAACAAAATAGCATTTTAAATGGGACCAGGTTGTCATTAAAATGATATAACTTAAATTTGGGATAGTAAGATGTGTGAAGGAAGCAATGTTTTTAAGGTTTGTCTTGCCATGGCATACTTCTCCCAGTTCAGCCCTTCTATAAGGAGAAAACCAGAGAACAGAAATCTAAAGAAGTCCCTTGCCTACTAGGTTAGCAAGCAATACCTGTATTGCAATGAAGGCAGACAGTACTTATTTCCTATCCCATGCATTAAACTCCAAGTAGAAACACTACTAATCTCAGATTTAAGGCTTAAGACACATGATGCTATCTGACCTTGGGGGTGGGCCAGAAGTCAATAACTAATATACAAGTCTCTGCTGCCGTCAGCTCAAACATTTATTTTTTCAAAAATAATTTTAAAATACACAGTCTTAATGTTAAACGCAGACAGCCAACCTTTAACACGTGATTTTTTCCTAATGTTCTGGAATTTTCTTAATGCATGCTTTCAAAGAAAAATGTTAACAGATTCAGAAAGACACACAGGTCTCAAACGTCTAGTCCGGTTAAACCTTGCTCTCATATATCTAAATATTTTTATTTAGGCTGCTGATCACAAGGCATAGCAGCCTTCAACTCATTTGATGCCCCAAAATATAACTTCAAGAAGTTTACTGGTACCCTTGATGGTTCATTTCTCAGGGATTTTTTTATTTACTATTATTGCAAGATAAGTCTCAGATGCTGAATAATTTCTGACAAAGTCATCCAAAACTGCTTCTTGCAAACTCAATTTTTTTAAAATCTTGGGTGCTAGCATCTGAACTCACTGATAAGTTTTAACAGTCCAGATTTTTCATCCTTGAAATAATCCCAAATCTGGATTCCTGGAATTAAATAACTTGCAGTAATGGAGCAAAATAATCTGGTTTTGTTATATTACTTTGCTGTAGGAGAGGGAAGGGAAGAAAGCGGAGAGGATTCAAGCATTTTAAGATATTCTCTGACCACTGGTACCCAAATACACTTAAATCTCCTCCTGGCAACAACTAAAAGTACTTCCACCAATTGTTAGTTTCACCATTTACGTAATTTCATTACCCACTGATTATTTGGCAGTATGTGTTATCAAAGAAAGACCAATTCAAATGTGATGTTTTTAAGCTTAAAATTTAGGATAGTTGTTCAAAATACCATTCATTGTTATTGTCTTCCAGAACACACACTCAAAACCAGACGACTACAATTAAGAATATATCATACAACAGCTAACATGACAAACAAATAAGAAGCCAGACTATTTTTGGATAAAATATAATTAAAATGACACAAGGACCTCATTTAAATATTGATTCTATTGTGCTATTCTGTTAGTCTTCGTCTATTTCTATAATAAGTATAATTTCACACCACACCCTACACCCTTAACAATTACAAAACTTTCATGGACTTAAAACAGTTGCTAGCTGCATCTTGTTCTAAAACAAAATACATGTTATTGCACAGAATTACCTAACCTAGTCCAGAGGAGGTAACTTGAGTCCTCAAAGCACTGCAGAGGCATTAGTGTGGTATGTTAAAGAAGCACCAGCTTGTTTATATTGCGACCTTCAATAATGAATGATGGAAGCCTACATTCTACCCTGTTTGCTGCCCACAGTTCTTCTTAATTAACTCAGTTCAATATATATAAGCATTTAATTCAGTTATCTCTAATCCAGTTTCTCTAGTCTGGAACAGGAAATCAGAGACATTTGCCTATCCTTCCTTCACCAGAGGAAAAAAAAAATCCTCTGAACATACTAACATATTGAAAATACGTCCATCAGTCTCTCTCTCTCTCTCTCTCTCTGTACTACCTTCCCAAGGTCACTCACAGATACCTAAATAATGAGTGGTGACAGCAAATAACTCTGTGATATCCATCATGAGGTGATCACTGGGGATTAAAGGCACTTAACCTGCTTCTTCATAGTAAAATTAATTCAGTGCAAGTAGCAACTCCCTACAATTCACTGGTAGCTTTTACACATTATCAGACACCTTCTTCATACCTTGTGATGTGAATTTTGGAATTAAGGAGTACCTGTAAAAAACTCTTATGCTCCTCAAATTTATCCTAAAAAGTAAGTATTTCAGTGAACTTACTTGGATGGATACTGCAAACCAAGAAGGGCCCTGAGACACATGCAGATACACAAAAATGATTTTCTTCTATCAGAGAGAAAACAGACAAATCTTAATGGCAGCTCACTGAGCACCCACAAGTGTCTGTATATTGCGAAGATGGCTCTGACAACAGGTCTAGATTAAACAATTCTAAATTTAGTAACCTGGTCTTTTTCCTGATGAACTACTCCTCCATAAAATGCAATTCTAAATGTACATTTATGTATATAATTTAAAATATTTTTTTGTCTCAGTTTGCAAGTCTTCACATTTCCATTGTCAGGTTGGGCAAGCATTTTACCATACGGTTAAGTTAAATCTCAGTGATTTATACCATATGCAGGTATTTCCACAAATGAATGAAAATACAATTTTAAACTTCAAAAATTAGTCTATCTCCCAGATACCAACACCTTTTGTAAGTTTAATTGAAATATTTATGCCCAATATCAAACTATAGTGTGCAAAAAGATTTTTAGTTGCAACTAAATGACATTGATGAAGAAGAAACCAGGAATAATCCAGTTAACAGTAATACCAACTGATGAACATTTCTGATCTTCTAACTTCTCCTACATTTATTAATATGATTTAAGAAAAGCTAAGAGCAACATCGGTGAATAATGTTGATCTTAAACCATCTCTTACTATACCCTTCTGGGCCAAAAGAGTATCAGGATTGCCACATACAGGTATAGTTAAACCATGTTGATGTTTTTTGTCCTCAGTAGTTTATTCAGTCACCAGGCAATGCTGTACCAGCTACTTCAATCCTCCAAAATTTTCAAGTAAACCAAGAATTACCACATAAGCAGCAGTCATGACAGAGGAAAGCAAAATAAGAGGAAATACCAATCTTACCTTCACACACTGGGCAGCACTCCCCGGGGACTTTAACAGGATTTAGGCAGCTCTGTCCACAGGCCGTGGCAACACAGTGTGGATCTCCATTGATGCACTGGCAGAAGGTACAGTCGTCCTCTCGCCAGCGGTCTCCGTGAGCTTGGATCTGACCATTGGCATAGCAGCCAGCAGGGTTATTTACTGGATAAAGTGGGTCTGGAATGAGAGGAATTGTAAGAGAATGAGGCTTAATGTTTTGATTTTCTGATTTTGTTTTTCAGAACAAAATGGATCTTAGATCTATTGATTTCTTTTTTGTTCCAGCTTTCTGAAGGAAACTGAAAACATCTAAATGAACCATTGGAATGACTCGTGTCAGCACTATATCACTACTTTATACAATGAGCAAAGATGAGACCTTTGGCACATTTCTTGCTAGAGCAAGAAGATTGCCTTAAGCTACATCTCATCACAGTTTTGGAGATATACTAGTTTTTCTGAACAGATGATCTGGCTCAGTTTTCAGTTTCATTTCAGTTGAAGTTTTTTCCCCTGAAAGCCACAAGACCCACTTATCTGCTAGAAATCAAATGAAGATTTTGGTATTTAAATAACATAATTTTATGGAACATACTTTACGTTACATTTCTCATCAAGTTTCACATAAATAAATAATGCAACCCTGTATATGCAAACCCATGACTTGAAGTAAAAGCAGCTTTTACTCTTCAGAAATAGTATTACTCCAGAAACTTGATAAGTTACGCTAATATTAATAGTAAAAAGAATATATACATTATGTGAATATATACAACTTATCATGGTGGCTAATAAAAATAAAACTGTCAGGCTCAAAAATTAAGTATCTGAGAATGTACGGTAAGTAGGTCAAATTTGCAAAGCAAGCAATAATAAAAATTACATATTAAAGCAAATCCAATATAATAAAAGCAATAGATACAACTGAAAACATTTTTTAGCGGACATCAAATAAGCACAAGTGATTTGCCTATAAGTTAATTTTTCAAGAGTGTTAAGTTTAAAGGACTTGGGAGAAATAAGACATCCTATCTAAGAAGTTTCATCACTCCCCTCTGGAAGGAAGGCAATGCATTTTGAGTGTAGGAAAAACACGTAGTGGTGCTAAGTAACTGTTGTCTTATTATAAGCCACTTTATGACATTGAATATTTGGATTGAAATACTGAATATTGAAACTGCTCACAACTTCTACCCTGAACTGTAGTGATATTCACAATTCCAGTAAAATGGGTTAAACCAAGAATCATGTGTTTGTGAAAATAAGGCACTTAAAAATTAAAATGTTTCCTAAGCTCTTAACTTTGCACCTTTCATGTTTTAGGATTACCTTACATCTGTAAATAACTATTTTGACTTAGCCAAAAATCAAATCATAAACAAACAAATGAAGTGAATTTTATCCTTCAACTTATATACAGGATTGTGATTGACAGAGGAATACAGAGAAAGCACAGAAAAGCCATATAAGACTTGTGCTATTTGCAATTGTCTTCTATGTGACTCAAACCACAAAGTTCCTGGTATCCTTAAAAGGTCAGTCGTGTTTAAAGGTATAAATTGAGTCCAGCAAATTACATATCCTAATGCTGATATATCCTACAGGACTTTGAGAAAGAATTCCTCCAGGAGTTAAGGCAAGAAGGGCTTATGCCTGTACTACACAACTCACATCAACTCTACCATTACTGTTTTAGAATTCCTACAGAAAAGAAGAAAGCTTTATATTCTTTATATTTCTATCATCAAGTAACATTAGTAGGAAACAATGAATCACCTTGAAAACCAGTCATGAAATAATCCACTGAAGAAAAGCAGGTAGAAAAGAATGCCACCTCTTCAACAACTAGAAAAGCATGAATGGGTGGGCTGTTAGGTATTTATTCTGCCTATCTAGAAGACTTACCTTGTCAATTTAGGTGTCAACATTACTAAGAAAGCGATCAGAGCTTTCTTTTTTAATTATTAGATTTCTCTTATCTGAGGAGGAGAATTTGAGATTTCCAGTTGATTTCACTTATTGAGAATCTATCCCTAAATGCACATCTAAACAAAGGGAGTAGGAGTGCTTCACAGGTCTTTTGACTATACAGTGGTCAAAGCCTGATCCCCCCTGGGGCGTGATCCAGGTGTAGAGTGCTAGTCCCTGCCAGTTTGCTGGAATCTTGGTTGTGTTCTGGCAGAAGATGCCTCCAATATTTTCTAGTATAAGCAAGAGGGTCAACATGAAATTTCATAAAGAGACCTTTTTAGGAGGACTGCAGGCCTAGCAAGCAGAGGAGGAGGTTCTCAGCAGGGCAAAGGAGGTATATATATATAATTGTAGAGCAGAGAAGGAGTATGTATTGCTCTAGTTGAACACAAAAAGAAGCAGGTTGCAAAGCAATGGAACTGTGTCTTAGGGCCACAACTGCTGCTATGGAGATGCCTGTCTAAATGTCCAGTGCAGAAGTTAGAAACAGCTTTTTATATCCTCTATGAAGAAGGCCCCCGCAGAATCCCTGCACACTTGATCATATTTAAGGAGGTTCTGATGCAGAAGGGAAAGCCAAACAGCTCTGTATAGAAAAGGCAGAGCGTCAATGTCAGAGAAGCGCTGCAAAGAACAAAACAGCACACTCAGGCACAGTACAAATGTAGAAATAAATTGAATTAAGGAGGAATCTACAAGCCTCAGAAGAACAAAAGCCCTTGTTTGTTCATTTCCGTTGAACAGGCAAATAAAAAAAAGCAGCAGAATTAAATGCAAACAGCATTAAAAAGATACTGTACCTTCACACACTGGGCAGCACTCCCCTTCCGGCACATAGTACCTGTCGCAGTGTAGCTCACCACACTGGGCAGAGAAGCAAATAGAGACTCCGCCTTGGCATCGACAAAATCGACAAGCATCCATCCGAAACATGTCCCCATCATAATATTCCATGCTGTTAAATATGCAAGTTGGCTTCACTTCTGAAAGAAAGAAAACAGTATTTTACAGATATTGTTAAATGGGAAATAGTTAAGCTCATGTTGCTACTGAGAAGAACAGATATAAAAGAGACAGTTGATTTTTCTTTCATTTTTTAAACTTAACTACAATCTTATTTTATTTTATTTTTAGGAACATGGTATATTTTATCGTGTTTCAACAACGGAATAAAATAAAATGCTATTCAAAATTACTTTCAGAGCAATTATCTACAATTAAAAGTCTAAATTTTAAAAAAATCCTAAAGGAAGGTTACAGCACTGGTATTTCTTCACAGGTGTTAAATATTTCTCATTCTGGATGAGCATGAAGCTACTTCAAAATTCAGCACATGAAACAATAGATTTTTCTGTTTTAAGAAGACAGTTTCTGATGTGTCTTAAGTGTAATCTTCCTTTCTGCAGGACTTGGTACTCAGGTGGATAAATTGCACTAAAGTTGTCCAATCAATAGGTTAAAAACTCCAACAAACATTTTGTGACTGCATGATCTGTTATGCAGAACTGAACACTTCAAACAATCTGGAGCTGTAATAGCCAGCTCACAGTTATACTTCTGAATTGTAGTAATATTTATGTGATCACTTTAGTGTTTCAAAAACATAACACAGCTATTTCTTGTGTGCTTCTATCTACAGCAGAGCCTTGACATATAATTAAATCCAAACTTTGTTAGAAACTAAGAGCCTCTAAAAATTCTGAAGTATTTTGCGAAGGACATTGTCTATTTACTTGGTTAATATTAAAAAAAAATGAAAGGGGAAAAAAAAGATGCTCCCTAAACCAATGAAACAGTTTGCAGATTTAATCAACTTTTTTCATGATTATTATTTTTTTATACTGAAGAGGTTTGGTTCTGGATTATGAAGCAGATCATCATGAATATATCATAAGGTCTTGTTAGGGCTTATGACCTTGCAGTTACCCCATACATATGAACTTCAAACTGCACTCTGTTCAACCAGCTCAACTGATTCCCCCCACACACAATGTCGTGTAGCTCCATGGCCCAGGGCTGAATCATTGTGACTCAAGACACTGTAGAAAAAATACTCTGAATTTATGTTCAACTATAAGACTCCACATTAGTCATTAAGGAAATCATGACTTCACAGTATCATCATTATATTATTCAATGACTTAAGCCTCCTCCCTCTTCCCCACTTCAGAATAAGCTTTTTGGCCTCCTATGACACTAGCCCAAGATACCTGAAAACAGCCACCTCAAGTAAAGCACTGCCTAGTTAACCAATGTATTTTTTTCAGAAGCTATGATTTGATATGATCATAAAGCATTAGAGTTGAAACTTGGAAGTATCTTGAGCAATGTTTGATTTTTATATGTCTGTTTGTCTTCAAGGCATAATGTAGAAAGCAGCATAAAAAATAAGAGTAAGAAGAGGAAATACCACTGTGTCCGGGAAAACATCTATGACCTCATTAGAAAGCAATTCGCATAAACAAACACTTGAGAAATATTTCAAGTTTATGTAGCTCAAGCTGTTAGTTTAAAAACCTTCTCAAAAAGGAAAAAGTGCCAACACAACTCATAAGGCCTTTAATCCATTTGCTTCTAGCTTCAATGTTTTGATTGCAGCTTTCCAGATTTTTATTGTTTCCCTCCACCCCGAACAGTAGATATGAATTCATGCCTTGTTAGAAGTAGAAACATCATCTTCAATGAATTATCATTCATTTTTAAATATCCAAACACAACTAAGCAAGTAACTGCAAATCCTGAACGGAAACAGTATGTTTTAGTCCTACAATGAAAACCACCATAGAATTTCACTATTTTTACCATCCAGGTTTATGGTAGCTTATACATTTATACTGAACTATAAACCTAAGCTGATATGTCCAGCTATGAGACAAGGATTTCTTTGGTTAGAACTAAAGTAATATGTAAGTATATACGAGACGCCAGTCTTGAAACTGAATCAAGCCAGAACAAGCACTAAACAAAAATCTCTAGCTTTAGATACTCCAAGTGGAAGCCTAATGAAAGAGTGAGCAGCACACAATGAAATTATAATGATGCATTTCTTCCACCACAATATGCTGAAAGATTCTCTCAGTACCCTGTTTTTTTTTAAAGTGCCAATTTTAATGCCTTATTGATCTGTGTATGACAGTCACAAAGGAATGAAAGAACATAAAGCTAACATTAAATAAATGCATCTTTTCCTAGAGGCCAGTAACCATGAATGCATTGTTTTGCTAATAAGGAGAAAACTACATGTAGGATTCTTCAAGCTTCACTGCATCACAAAGTAATTCAAATCGACCAAACTTCATAGCACAAAACACTTAAACATATCTGAGACTCCAAATCCTGTTTCTGATGCAGACTACTACAACAAAGCAGTGGGCATGAGACACAGACTATGGATTCGTGAACATAAATTCAGTGTCTGCTAGCTCTCAGATAAGCCAGATCAAGATTGATCCAGCCTTTTTTTATTGGGACTGAGAGCCCTAAATGTAAGGGTTGCAGTAAACCCCATAGTCTCACACTACACAAACTGTGATTACTTCTCAAGACCTCTATCACCAATGTGAATGGCAAATGGACACAATCTGTTTTATCAAATTAGTTTTCTAAGGTATTATAACTTCTACATTTAAATCTAATGAAATACAGTTCTATTGGCTAAACTAGTCCAAAGCAAAAAACTTCTGTTATTGAGTTTTTTTAGTTTTCTAATACTTACGATTTTCTTTGATTAGAGTAATGGAATAGCTTAGAAATACATTCAAGTTTGGGAAGCCACTCTTTGCAAGGCAACAATTTGCATGTGGTTACACATAAGATGCTTCAGGCATCAGCCTGTAGGCAAGTATGCGCATTTTCTTTTGTAATATCAGAAATTCCAGCTCTCCTGAAGCAGCAGCAAGATTCAAAACAATTTTCTGTTGTTTAAACGATTAAAAGGTTCATGATTCTAGCACTTCAGATGTTTCTTTAGCAAAGACAAGTATTTGTATCAGTCTTGGAAGGAACTAGGGCAAGTGCTGTGAACTTTCTATTAAATGAAAGGGGAGGAAACTGATAAACTTGAATCCTGTGTCCATATAAACAAAACTCAGAGAAGCTTTCCATTTTTAAAAAAGCTGCGTTGATAGTTTAAAAAAGGGAAGGATATGTTTCACTGGAATTGGCCCATAACAATGTTATAGGACACCACACTGTATGCTGTTGCTTTCTTGCAAGCATATAAAAACAAGCTAGATAGAAAAAAACTATTTGGGTTCTTACTCTTCAGGTTGAACTGGCTACTGCCCTATTAACAAGATTACAGGACCGTTCTGAAAGTCCTTTGGTCCTGCATCTTCTAAAAAGATCATCCAGAAACAGAGAAACCAGAAACAAACAAACCCATAACTATTATTTGTAAATCAATGCAATTATTTATGCATACATTTATACATACTTACACAGTTTAAAGGAATGAATTACTATTTTGTGGCACTCGCAGTCCGTAAAAGCTGTTAAAAGATACTTGGGATGCTGAGGAAACCCAGATTCAGCTCTACCTGATATATCCCATTTTCTTTAAGATCACCAGTAATGGAGAAACTGCAGTCTACCTATTAAACAATTCCACAGTTTTAACTACTGTAACTATGCAAAAATCACAGAAGGGGTAATTCAGGTTAGACAGAAACAGCAAACAAACAGAAAGGAAGTTTCCCAAGTTTCATTACATTTCCCATCTTCAAGGTCTCATGTTTTTTTCTGTTTTTTTTCTGTCCTCCAATGTACAAATTTCTTGCTAAGAGGACTCATCCTTAAGACACCTCAGGGTGTCCCTGCCTTCATCCTCTCTTACACATAAAATGCATGCAATTTAACTTTTCTTCATCAGGTCATGCTTTTGAGTTTCTGTGGCTTTCCTCAAGGCTATCCTGTGGCACTATCCCCCTTTTGTCTCTACTCCTTCTGGAAACTAAGCATTGCTACTTTTTAACATCCTTCAGTAGGTTACAGTCCTACCACAGGAAAACACCACGACAGCCAAAGGAGGAGCTGGGGCCACAAAGGGTGGTGGCTGTGCTCCAAAACCCCCAAACAGTGACAGATTTTCTTGATGAAATTGCCAAACAATTCTTGGAAGCAAGGCATATTCTTCATAACAGAGGAATGTCTTTAAATCCCAGTGGTCTCTGTCAGTCCATCACAAGAGAAAATAAATGTTGCAATCAGTTTAGCCCTAGGCACATGAACAGGGCACAGGCATCTGAAACAGTCTCAGTACCACTGTAAGGTACTGGCATAGCCCATCATTCATTGTCAGTACATCTGTGATCGGCCTCTAGTGCATGAGAAAAGTTAAAAATTGTAGGGGAAAAAAAATCTCCAAAGTTGTAACACAAGGCTGTGGTTTGGTGTTATAACAGGTCTAACCATTTCTCCCATGCTCTGAGAAAAATACTGAATTCTAACCTTGTCGCCAAAGTGTTGGCAACTTTGCCCAAGTTTAAGTACCTAGAAATATCTGAGCCAGAACATTACTGAAGATATTAGCTTACCAAGACAATTCACTTTGGCAAAAAACATTACTACTTCATCAAAGTAAATACTAGAAGTTTTTACTTTATTTTTTTCTTTATAACTTTTACAACCAAACAGAACTATATCATTTGACATCTAATATTCTTTGTATATGACATATCATCAGTTCACAAAATCTATTTAGCATCTTGGTTTTCATTATTCGGTATGAACAAAAGGAGTTAGATTTTGTCCTTTTTTATTTAAAAAAATAACTTTGTTATTTAAAACTCAGTCTCTACTTCCCACTGAGCAACCCTCCCACTCATAGTGAACCCCTGTGGAGCTTTGAGTTTGGTTTCACATCCAGCTGTGGTCCTGACAATTGCTACCCCTCGTGATATATTTATTTACATTGTATTTATTTATATGCATCTACAGATTGAATAATTTTTATCAGGAGGTTTGGATTGACTGCTTTTCAGTT